AAGTTCTTTGACCTAAATAAAGGACTACCTAACGTATGTTCTGTGATCGGAGTAAATGGGCCTCTCCAGACCTTGATCTGATCTACAGATCTACCAGTATGTTTAGGACTCGCCAGGGCGCGAGTAAAGAATTTTGTTGCGTCCGTCCCTTTCCAGGACAAAAAACCATGCTTTATTTGGTAGCCTGTAATTTGATTAGAAATAGCTCGTGATTAGCAAGACGTCAAACGCTACTATCTTAGGGAGAGAGGCAGACTCTAATGTATGAAGGACATAGTCAAAAATGCAGAAAACATGTGGTCGTGCTATGCAATGTATGCAAGTTTTTCTGAAATGTAAATAGAAAACATTAATTTTTATAGACATGTTTATCTTGTTTTCACATTTCACATATATATAAAGCTACGTCTGGTTTCGCGTCGCGACGTATTTGTGATTTGTACGTTAGTTTATTGCCAGTGTTTTAAGAATAAATTCAATTGGCTTCAATAAAAACACGAATGTTGACTATATACTAAAGGATACTTTTTCCAGTCATGATTTGAAAAAAGCTACTAATAATGAATAGTTGCAGAAAATGCAGCGTATATGCGCCGATACTGAACTTCCGAGCAACTTCGATGATTGGACAGTGCAAGAACAAAGTGACTGGATGTATTACAATATGACGGATTTATATAAAAACGTGCCAGAATCTTTACAAAATCTGATCCCGTCTGCCACACGTCCACTCGATTTCAACCGATCACTAAATGCGTTACCTGAATGGATGGACCCAGAAAAATATCACAGAGGACAAAAGTTTGTGCGCGAGAATTATTTCTCGATTATCATGGCTTTTATATTCGGTTCCATTTACGGCTACACTTTCGAGGATGCCCTCAAACCAATTATCATAGGAGGGAACAGTCATACACCATATTTAGCATTCAAAAGGTATTTTTCTGACATATTGTCTTTTAATTTACAAGCCTGACATCGAAATAGCAGCAAGAGTGATATTTCCATACAGAACAAATGTTCAACAGAAATCGTAGGAACGTCCCAGGAATATTCGAATATCTTTAGGATATCCCTAGAACGTCCTTTGAACATTTGTGCTGTATTGGCATTGGTAAGGAAGAGATTTCAGAATTAGAAACTAATGACATCGTCATACTACAGTTTTTAAATATTTTTTAAATATTTTTGAACATATTACGCAACTACTTGCACATGCGTAAACTTTCCCGATTTGATTTAAAACGTCCACAACATCACACTGTTCCCTTTATACAAGGTTCTCCTCCCTCCTTCTTTCATTCTTTGCGTATTTAAAATAATCGTAATAAAATTAAATATATCTTATATTATCTATGTAAATAGCATCAACTTCACAGATATTAACCAACGATTGCTTATTACACTGTTATTATACTATATAGTTTAAGGATGAATTCTTTAATTTGAAGGTATCTGAATACGTTAAAAAGGATACTCGCTTGGTACGATGGGGAACCTTGGAGTAAAGGTACGGAGGCCTACAGGGACATGCAAATTGCACGCAATAAACATATAACAATAAGCACAAAGGTTTCCCTGCTGGATAACAAGCAATACCAGGCGGCATCAAAATTCGAGCAGCCGTGGTGTCCAGAGTACGAAACGCTTATGAAGGACTTTGCTCTGACATGTCCGTTCGAGAAACTTGGACAACGTCCTTACAAAATTTTAGATAATATGTCACGCAAACCGAAAGACTTAAATAATATGCTGATGGCCGTTACACAGGCCCATTTCATAATGTTGCCTGTATTATATCCGCAAAAAGTTGG